TTTTGTTTAGAGAGCTTAAGCATCGGACGTTTTTGATTCACGGACGTCAACCGGAAGTTTAAATATGAGCTTCGCAATCAGTACGCATGTGCAGACGTTTTTGACGTGAGGTTGCAGACGTGAAAGTGGGATGTTTGCCGTGCGTGTTGTTTTGCTCTGTTTCAGGACTGTCTCAGTACAAGACTGACACCATGTCTTCATTTTCAATCGTCAAATCAAACCCGTAAGTACATTGTAGGTTTCATAAGAAAGTAGTTTTTTATCTGCACTTAAACAATAACTTTTAAAAATGGGACAAAATGTGCCTAACTTCGTGTTTGGCACAAGTTTCCGCAGGTTCTGTTACTTGGTTTTGTTTGATCGTGAATTCTTTTTTGTTTGTCGCCATTCTTTTAGTTATCCTACGAGCAGAGGTTTTTTCCAGAACAGGAAAAATACTTATATAATAGCAAGTTATCTTGCCATGTGTTTGTTTTTGTTATTAGTTGTTTTCTTTTTGTCGAGAGGTTTATGTCGTTGCCGTATTTCACGTTCAAGAAAGTGCATTAATTTCCCCGCCATTAAGCTTTTTATTTTTAGTGCTGAAATGTGATCGACTATTTTATACAGCTACTACCTACAGTAACACTCGCTTCTATCTTTTTTCTTTTATGTAGTGGGCCTATGGAATGGTCTGAACAGCACGACGTAGCACTAATGAAAGAAGTCAGAGTGCAGAATCCGTTTAAAGCAAAGAAGAAAACGAGCAACCGAGCGCAAATATGGCTGTCGATCGCAGAGGCGCTAAGTGGATTACAAGATCCGTTATTCAAGGATTCAATGACAAAAGGATCAGTGCAAGATCGTTACGTTTTGTAGTGCAGCCCCTTTATTCGATATAGCATCCGTGTAGGTGTTGAAGTCACGTGGATTCAGTAGATCATGATTCCACTGACACAGTTTGTGACCATGTATATCGTAAATATAATTCATCACCGTATTTGATATCATGCTAAGTTCAGGAACCGGTCGGCCGAATCGTGCGAGCATGTCGCTATATCGGCAAGGAAACGACATTCGCCTGAGCAAAATACATAGCCCCTCTAACTTGTCGGCAGTGGTTCTCTGATTACAGTGGAAGGTGTCCGGTAGTCGAAGCGCATCAGCCAGCAGTGGAAGGTCCTTTTTTTCAACTCTAAACTCGGACTTGCACTCAGGTTCCTCGATACTCTCGATACTAAACCTCGCGTATTTTTCGTACGAAAACTCAGGGTTTTTTGACGAATTCTCTTTCAGTAATAGCAACAGTTCCTCATCTGACACCAGTCCTTGGTCATGAGCGATTAAAAGTGATTTTCTCACATCCTTTAAATACGGCATGTTGCAAATTACGGCCACATTTCCTTTGTAAACAATGACCAAAAACGTGACAACTGTGATCAGCTGTCACGTTCGTGGTGACGCAGGTGTCCAGCTTAAGTAAAAATTTCGCGCCTAAAACGCCGTTGTAGATCCAGTCTCCCCCGGTATTCTGACGTCCGTGACATCAAAAACGTCTGATGCTTAAGCTCTCTACTATCTGCCTTTAACAACTCTCTGGTAGAATACCTTACACAAAGGAAAGTAATCGGCGAACATTGTAAATAAAAACGACAAAATGGCCGAATTAAGGAATAAGATTTCTGACCTCAAAGAACTCACTTTTAAACAAAAGAGATAAAAAAAGTGTGTTCTCTGACTCTAAAAAAAGCTGGCTTTAACATCAGCGAAAGCAGAACAAACAGCTTAAGACAGATATAGCGTGGAAACACTTTCAAATGTAGGCTTGCAGCTAAGGAAACGGAGAAAGACTAAAAATTCGTAAAAAATCCCTCAAAATATCAGCCATCTGACAGTCAAGTCAGTGTGCTATCAAAGGGTCTCAAATTCATCCCAACACCCGTGACAAACGAATGTAAAATCAGGCCAACTCTTGCGAGATTTATTCGCAAGAAGAATGCATCTCCAAAACACACTTCATGAACAAAAGAAAGAACTACCTCCGTTTTATATCAAACTGAATGCCACAAGTTCAGTCATCTATTGCCCTTCAGAGCTACTTGGAAAATTGTCATAATACAACTTGCAGGGATTACTATATTTAAGCCAAAAAAATACTTTATAACGCAGTGAGGTCGCGGCTCTAAACGAGTTGAAAAAACTCTGCTTTAAAGAAGCAACTCAACAACAATCACCATGAATAAAACAGAAAAAACAGAAGAGGCCAAAGTGCAACTCGACAACAGAGTTCACTTGAAACCTCTCAAAGCACCGATAGAAAAAACCACGCAGGAAAGGGTTAATGAGATCATCGACCAAATGCATCGGGGTGGGTGTTACGAAAACTAAGACCTGAAAACATGTTCCAGCCGAGCTCGCAATCGTATAGCAGAAAACGTCATCATGACGTCAAAGGCTCAACAATCTTATGTTTAGCTTGTGACAACTCTCTTTGTTCGCTGCACAGAGAATCACAGATATTACTTTTTTGAGAACTGTTTCGTTGTCAGTCGTGAAATGTCAACTTTCTCTGACGATGAATTGTCCCAGAAATCATCTACAGCTTCTGAGGATAGTTTTGCGCCGGCAAACGATAAAATTTTTTTCCATGAGTATAGAGGTAAAGACAGAACGGCACGGTGGTCGCGTCACTTTATCACCTTCCGAACTGTATTTTTGCTTGTCGCAAGGGATTTTCCCTTTTTGTAATTGATGATCGGGTGATATATAAATTTTCTTTCGGTAATGGCTGATTGTGCATCAAGGCGGATATTGGGAGTTTGCGAAAGCCATTTCTAAGGACTAAGTCATGCCATCAATGTATTTGCCCCAATGGGGCGTTACGAAAACTGAGACTCTCGAAAACTAAGACCTAAGACCTAAGACTAAGACCCGTCTTAGTTTTCGAGATTTCGAAAAGTAAAACCTCCTAAAATCGAATCCGTCGAAATATAAAGTCAAATTGTAACCAAAACTATCTATGACCTAGCCAGAAAAGGTCAGGTCATGTGTGATGTTTAACACGTCTCGAGCAAGAGGGAAAGATTATTTCATGAAAGCGTCACGCGTTTTGTGACGCTGTGTTAAGTTACGCGAGCAACCGCTGAGAATTTGAACGCGTTCTAAGGAATAGTATGGGGAACGAAATATGGTTCATTTATAATACTAAATATTCCAAAATATGAACATTTGACACGTTAGATTGATGAAACTTACTCAATCTTTGTGTTTCCGTCGTGGTTTTTGGCGATTTCTGCTGTTTTGGGCTTGCTTTGCCATCACTGTTTTTCCGGTTATCAGACGAAACGTCAGCTGGCCCTTTCACGTTTCACGTGAAATAGCGTGAACCATGATGCTTTAGTTTCGCGTGAGCTCACGTCATGGTGGATTTAAAGACGTCTTGTATGACTTACAAGGAATGGTTTTGGTGCCCTTTTTCCGACAATTAACTTCTACTCTGTGAGAGAAAAAGTGAAGAAAATCTTGCGTATACGGCAAACGCGAAACAGTTTACTTTTGCGTAGAAACGGCAAAGTACAACCCGCAAACGTAAAAAATGGCGGGGAAATAAGGTCACGTGGTCACTCTTTCCGTTCACGTAAAGTTAAACGTGTTGCTAAATCTCTCTAACGAAATAATCCTTCCCTTTTTCTCGAGACGTGAGCTTGGGATGCCTGTGGTTTAACCGATAAAACNCTGAGTCGTGAATTTTGAGCAATCGTAATTCCCAACTTAACAGATTCTACCTGCTTACTATTTATCCATGCCATTTTTTTTGTGTCTTTTCAGAGGCATTTTCACGGTTCGAAATGTTCTCTTCGTTTGTTAGAGGGGACCTTTCGGATAACCAAGTTGATTTTCTTGCCGCAGAAGGCCGAGATTATTTTCTCACGCACGGAATGATTTACAAAAACAAGAGTGGAATTTTAGAGCACAGACCTTTTACTGTTCTTCCCACTCCAATTCCAAGAAGACTTTTCACTGCTGCCAGAGAAGTTCAAAAGGATTTTAACTTGCTCGTGCACAAAGCAAGCAAGGACTTCCAGTTCACGAAGGATGCACTTCTGAGGTAAACCTACTGACATCTTTATTTCAATTAGCCTAATGACTATTCCGAATCGCTCTTTTGTTTCATTATTCATGACAGTGAGTCTCAAACTCAGGGATTTACCTTTGATCGTGTTTACTCATCTTTCAGCACCATAACAGCAGATGTATTCACAGCAAGAATTTTTGCCATTTACGAGAAAACCCAGGAGCAAGGGATTGGTCAGGTGAGTACACAATTTACATCTTAAGCAAGTCTTTGGATGCATGTCTTTCACATATTGATTACTGAGTGAAAGAGAGCAGTTGATCTTTCTAAAAATTAACTCCTTTCTTATTTTAAGGATTCCATCGGGAAAAAAAACCCCGACGATCGATGATACCCTCTTTCCATGAATTATTTCATTACTCTGTAAACAAAACACAAACACAATTTTTTTTCGAATGATAAGTTAAATTACAATAACCTTTTATTTTCTCAGCCCATTTCGTTGGGAATCTTTCGATCGGATTACATGATAGAACAAACAAGTGGTTCGCACAAAGAAGAAGAAGAAGAAGAAGAAGAAAACTTAAACCTTTGTATCAAACAAGTTGAACTGAATACTATTTCCATAAGCGCCATTACTTCATCATGTCGTGCTTCTAGCCTACACAGGTATGACACATCATAATTTTTCATCCAAATTTTTACGTGGCACGCGCTAATGCAGTGACGTATGCTTGTGGTGAATTTGTGCTCTCTCGAAAAGCGCTTTACTTGCGGACCTTGCCATCCGGAAGTGTAAATGGGCTCTATTACTAGGATAAGATTTCCACACAGCCCCCATACTTTTGTTAAACAAAGCCGTATTTCTAAAGGCAAGTTATTGTTTTTGTCATTGTTCTCTTTATCTAAGAACTGCACATACGCTGATAAAGTATGGGGATGCACCGAAATCTGACCATAGAATAGCGTTGTAAGTATTTAAGGGATATATAGAAGAAAAATCGTTTTACACAAAATTTCGATGTCGTCAGTTTGTGAGAAAATTTTCAAGTTGTTAAATAAATAAAAACATTGAATCTTCTTACAATTAAATCCAGTAGGATGAGCTAGAATTAGCATTTTAAATTGTCGATTGATGTATTTTTCAGGTACCAAAGTGAATATTGACGAACACTGTTTCCTAGTGATAAAAGCATATTTTTTAATGTTGGCATCAAAGCAATCGGTGACCACAATGAGAAATTTAATCGTTTAAGCTATCCTACGAGATGTTATTTACATAAATGAAGATGATCCAGGCCTCAATAGGCAATCGAAATCTTATTTTGCAAAATGTGCCATGGTCTGTAAGGTTAAAATCAGGTTGTTAGGGACTGCATTACGTATTTTTTT